GTTGTCAAATTGATTGAAGTTTTTTTTAAGAAAAAATAAATATAAAAAAAACGTGGCCAACTTTGAAAAAATAACTATTTTGCTAAAAAAAACCGATCATTTCATAGAATTGATCATATTTAATTTTTTTTGTGTATTTTTTCGAAAAGTTCATTCAAAAAAAAAATTTTTAAACAGAAAAGGTACCCAAAGGTCAAAGTCTAAAAAAGTTATGGCTATTTGAAAATAAAAAAGCCACTTTTTTGGGAAATATAACTTTTTTTGGATTGGATGAGAAAATTTGAAAAAATTCTCAAAAATGTTTTTCAAAGGGTAGAAAAGAATGATAAAGTTTCAACTAAATCTAACGGGGTCGAGTTCAAAAGTGGTCAATTTGGCATGGAATATCTCATACATAGTGACAACATCGCAGGGGTACTCAGGGAAGCTTCCTATGACCTTAAAACGTCGAGATCTGATGAAAACTCGATTTTTGCAAAACAGGGTTACAACAATAACTTTCCGATTTTTGAAAATCTTCGATTTTCTTAGCGGGAAGTTAAAATTTTTATTTTTTTTTCTTTGGCAGAACTTCGTTTTATGATAAAAGAAAACTTCTGACCAAAATTCATCCAAATTAAAAGGGGTCGATTGCAACTATTGGTCGATTTGACATGGAATGACCCATATAATATTTATTTATATTATTTAACGAAAAAAGTGAATTATCGACCAATTCGATAACCAAATATTTGCGTTTCAATAACTTTTACAGTACTGACTCTATCAAGGGTGTTATAAAGCTCAGCTTTTCTCTATATGTAGTCTAATATCGCACTGATAGGATCAGTCATTAACTTGTTCGTGACGCTTTCATGTCACTGTTACTGGTTTAACATGTTGCGTAACTGTTTGTCATGTCGATTGTTAGCTTTGAAGTGTCGACAAAGGGATAGTTCACGATCATATTGATGTTCGTGTGGTCATTTTGCTAACAGGTTCTCAACATCATCAACATTATTATCATCATCATCATTAAATCATCAATTATTCATTTTTTTATTTATTTAGATACTCAATTTTTTCACTTGTTCTCATAATCCATTAAAATAATTTATATGAAAAATAAATTAAAATTAAATAAATAATGTATAAAGGCCCTCACCAGAGAAGCCGGGGTAAAATGCCCTTATTGAAATCGGGCTAATTAGGTAGATTTCATAGAAATCAATCTTTTGCATTGGTCCTCATGTCGGAATTTACTCGGAATTTTGTTGTAATATCACTTAACTAGTCGAGTAAAGCTCAAAAATAACGTTAGTTAAAAAATTTATATATGTAT